AGTCTTTCACTGGGACTTGCTGTGTAGCAGAGGGTGACTTTGAATTCCTGATCTTGCCTCTTCCCAAGTGCTGGGATTATAGGATGCCCACCATTTGTTTTGGATTATCTTTCTTCCTCTCCCTATCTCTTCTACCTTTCCTTTCTTCCCTTCCCCCTTTTCTTTCCTTCTAGTACTGGGAACTGAACTTAAGACCTTAGATCTACCATTAACCTCAGTTCTCAGCCCTAAGCTAAATTCTCAGCCTACTTTTGGGGTTCTGTGAGGCCAAGGTCTTGGGGTCATTTGGCCCTTGTGTTTGTAGGAATCTTCTCCCCCATCCTCTGCTAAAGTTTAAAAAAAATATTTTTATGGCTCTAGTGCACTTTGACTTGTATTGTCTTTCTTTTTCTTCTCCTCTGGGAGTGAATTCTGCTCCAGAAGGCATTCTACCATTTAGAGGGTCTTGGTTGCCAAAGCTTGACACAAAATACTTTTTTTTGTACTAAGGTGTATTTTTCTCTAAATGCATTTGACATTGTGTATTTAACAGCTTTTAGAACGCCCTACCACCCCCCACCCCACCCCACCCCCGTTTTGAACTATCACTGGGTACCCAGAAACTTGGCATCTTTTCACAAAGTACCTCAGTCTTGAAGTAGATGGTGAGCAGATAGCTGGTGGCTTGTAAAGAATGTTACAAGCTTGATTAACAAAATTTGCAAAGTGTAAATCAAGTTAGTTAGGGATCAAGTCACTGCAGAAGGTGTCCTCAAGATGATGTTTGGTCTGCCCTGCCTCTTACTGGCTTTACTTTCCCTTCTTTTAAAGATAGTACTTTTATTACTTTAACTATGTGTACTTATTCTTGTGAGAGTATGTGTGCAGATGCCTGTGGAGGCTGGATGTGAGGCAAATGTCCTGGAGCTAGTAAGCTGCCTGAGATGGGTGCTGGGCACTGAATGAGGGTCCTCTTCAAGGGCAGTGCATCTCTGAACTGCTGAGCCGTCTCTCCTTACTTCTTGCTCTGTGATGTCTACATCTTCTCCCACTCTTACTTTCCCTATCCCATCACATTTATCTTACTGCAGTCACTGCTGATCATATTAGTCCTTGGTCAGAATCTTTGATTGTTCCCTGAAAGATGGATCCTGGGCTTTTTCCACCTGTGCTTTCCTTTCCATTGCCTTCTTGCTGAAAACATTTCTGTGTGTCAGCATTCTTGCTCCTTATCTTGCATTCAATTCTGTTTACCCTCTTCCAACTTCATGTGAACCAGAACTTTTAGTCCTTCCCATCAAGTGCTTTCTAGCTCTACCAGCATGGCCTTTGAACCAGAATATTCTATCCCTCTAGTGTGTTGTATATATAACTTTAAGATAATTACTGAACTAAAGCCGGGCAGTGGTGGCGCATGCCTTTAATCCTAGCACTCGGGAGGCAGAGGCAGGCGGATCTCTGTGAGTCAAGACCACCCTGGGCTACAAGAGCTAGTTCCAGGACAGCCTTCAAAGCCACAGAGAAACCCTGTCTCAAAAAATCCCAAAAAAAAAAAAAAAAAGATAATTACTGAACTGAAATGCTTCTAGATCTGTAACATAGAGGGTGTGTTAGTGTAGGAAAAGACAACCTGTGAATTGTCTCTGATTGTAGGAACTATTCACGAGCACTTTTTATACATGGGCATGTCCCAGGTTCTTCCAAATAGTTGGGATAGACCAGACTCTGAAAATAATTTCACCTTATTGGGCATGGTGGCATACTGTGATCCTAGCCATGAAGGAAGTTGAAGGAAAGGATCATTAGTTAAGGGTAACCTCTGTCAAAACCAGCCAACCAACAAACAAAAAACAACCCATCATCATCCAGCTAAATAAAACTCCCACCTTTGATACCTTCTTTCTCCTCCCAGCCTGGAATATGACTGTCTGGAGCATGTTGGAGAAGCAAGCATCTCAGCTTGACTGTATACTTTAAGGCTGTGTTTTATTTAAATTTGTATGATATTTTAGTGTCACTTACTAAACTTAAAAACAAGACCTGGTATTTTGGGGAAACTGCTCCTGAATGACTCGTAGTAGCTATATGTAAGTCTTTTTTTTTTTTAATTTTTTATTTTATGTGCATTGGTGTTTTTCCATGGGTGTCAGGTCCCCTGGAACTGGAATTACAGACAGTTGTGAGCTGCCCTGTGGGTCCTGGGAATTGAATCCAGGTCCTCTGGAAGAGCAGTCACTCCAGCCCCATATGTGTAAGTCTTAAGTGTGTGCTGGATGTTGCTTCAAACATTTTTGCCCCTTTGGAAGCTCTGTCATGGGCCTTGATCAAAGGACAATAGTAGTGTTTCTAAGGAGATCTGTAGACTATGCATGAGTTTTAGATCTCCATTTAATTGTTTTTACTCAATGGGGCCTCTGTAATATTCAGAAAATTATGAAATTATTGCCTAATTCTGTTTGTTGGTATGCTGAGGTTTTCTTTTATATTTTTCTTGCTCTTTTGTGTGGAATAGTGTGGATTGCATAGACATCAGTATCTTCAGGAATATTCGAGGAGCACTCTAGTGTGTGCTGTGTTTTACATGTGTTAGAGGATTTTATGGCTGCGTTCTGTGGCATATATTCTCCATATATGTTCTAGTGCCCATCAGTAAATGCCACCTTTGTTCTAGTTATTAAACGAAAACAGATAATACAAGATTTTTAAGTTTTGGTGTTACTAGGCTTAAATGTCTAGGATACATGTGTACTGGTTTGTGGTATTGAATGCATTGTGGATGATTTCAGTTTAGAGAGGCAGTGGTAATTTTTGTTTCCTGATTCTTATGTTTAAATTTGCAGTCTCAACATTGCATCACCATAGGTTTTCACATTTAATGAATATTTATGTTGAGCTGTATTCTATACGAATGAGTTTTTTTTTTTTAACTTGATTATAGCTTGTTATATACTGTGGCCAGGAGTGCCCTACAGACAACAGAGTTGGCACATGTCTCAGCATGCCAAACCCCAGCGGATGTGGTTAGGGACCATGGTGACTGGCCTTAGTTGCCATGCCAACCTTGTTTTCTGGAAAGGGGAAACTCTAAAACAGTTCATAATGTGGAGGCAGAATAGTTTTGGATATTTCAAGTAAAGTGATTCCTTTTAAAAAGATGTAGAAAGCTCCAGAGCTTAATTCAACTATTATTACTGATTTTTTATAGGTTTGAATGTTTTGCCTATATGTCTGTGTACCTTTTGCCCTAGGGGGTCAGAAGAGAATGTCAGATCTCCTGGAATTGGAGTTACAGGTGGTTGTGATCCTCCATGTAAGTGCTGGGAATTGAACACAGGTCCTCTGGAAGAGCAGCCAGTGCTCTGAACTGCTGAGCTGTCATTCCAGGCCTGAAAAGCCCTGGAACTCTTTTTGCATACTTGACAGCATTAAATTAATTTTCTTTTGCAAACTTGTTTTAATTGTCTTTTTGCAAATCTGGGAATGATCTATATTGACTTTCTGATTAATGTATGTCTTTACCTGTTGGGGTAAATGCAGATGATATTATGAATACCCTCTTTTTACCTCCCACAACGTCTTTGTCTTCTGGTACCACTAGCCTAGTGATGATTGATTGGGGAGAGAGATAATACAACAGGAGAAAGCATAGACAATCTCTACCACCCTCGGCTCCTTATTCTCCCTTTACCTCCTGCCCTAGAGGGTTTTCCTGTTGTCTCTTCTTGTGTATCAGCAATCACCATGGCTGTAGTTGGATCTCACTCTGGCCTGACCTGGCCTGGAATTCACTACGTAACCTAGGCTAGCTTTGCATGTTGATCCTCCTGCGTTAGCCTGCCTAGTAGCTGGGACTGCAGACCTCGCCTAACAGGCCTGTCTATACATATGGGGTCTTATGTTTTCCTGCCCTCAGCTGTTGGAAGGGAAAGATAGGATTAGGGATAAAATGCAATGCAGATGGTGTCCTGCATAGCACTTCATGTCAGATAGGGAATTGATCAGGCCTAGGAAGCTAGATAGAATCCAAGAGTGCAGGAAGGTATGAGGTTTGCTAGTGCCAGTCGTAGCACCTCTCTACAAGAGGCCTGACAGCCAGTGGAGGTTGCACCCTGTCAAGATTCAACAGTCTAGGCAGTTTGGTGTGTAGAGGTCTTGGTCCTCAAGTCTTATCTCTGCTTGGATTGGCCACATATAATCTTTGCTTGCTGTAACAGAGTCTACTCTGACACTCTTCATTAGGATGAAACACCCTTCCCATAGGGCCGCTGCAGATTACAAGAAGCTATTCTGGGTTTAGGATGAGGCTAGATGTTCATAACATCCTTAGAGTTGTGCAGTGCTCAAGCTGGGCACCCTTGGGATGCCCCCTCCCTGTGGCTGATGTCATACCTGTCTGTGAGTTGTTGTCACTTCTGCAACACTCCCTCTTTGCAGTCAGGTTTGTTCCTTCTGTTTTTTGAAGTTCTTCCTAGAAAACCAGAGAACCATGTATGTAATGTGAAGAAACTGACAACTAGGGGGTATCAGATTTAGTACATAGAATTTTGGCATCTGCTTTGTCTGCTTTTGTTTGTTTGTTTGTTTGTTTTGGTTTTTCGAGACAGGGTTTCTCTGTGGCTTTGGAGGCTGTCCTGGAACTACCTCTTGTAGACCAGGCTGGTCTCAAACTCACAGAGATCCGCCTGCCTCTGACTCCCGAGTGCTGGGATTAAAGGCGTGCGCCACCACTGCCCGGCCTTTGTCTGCTTCTTGAAACATTTTGTGCCACCTTTTTGAACATGAGCTGACTAGTGCATAGGATCCTCAGAATTTGGGAACATATTTTATATTTTGTTTTTTGAGACAGGATCTCACTGTGTAGCTCTGACTTTCCTGGAACTCACAGAGGTCTACCTGCCTCTGCCTCCTGAGTGCTGGAATTAAAGGCCTGAGCTACCATGTCCATCTGAAAATATATTTTCTTTTTAAAAAATATATATTCTTAATAATTCACTTGCAAGTTAACTTTTGGACCACAATCTGGTTTGTATATAAATTCTCTTTAGTTCTTGGTAACTATACTAGTTAGTTAGCCAGCTGTATCTGAGGACTTAGAAGGACACTTACTTCATCAGCACTAGTATAACTGTTGGACCAGTGTTTGCTAGGTTCCTCATAACATGTTGTGGAGTGTTGCAGTTCTGTTTCTTTTGATAGAGAGAGGTTGCTCAATGCCTTTTCTGGGACCAGACTAACTGGGTCTGTGTTCTTACACTGCCTGTTACTACTGTGATATTCCTAGACTTTTTTCCTGCAGAGTCTGTTTCTATTTACCACCTGCACATAGGGGTACAACAGGCTTAAAGAGACAGTTCCACCCTGTTCTAGCTTGGTGAGTCAATGAGTTTGATCAGAGCTACTTAGCATGAGTTCCAGGAGCATGAGCGACTTACAGGCAGCTACACCACCAAGGAAGAATGTTTCTGTTAGCTTGTTGGTTTGGGGTATGAGTGTGTGCTGGAGTTTTAAACTGCCTGTATATTCTTGGGGAGGAATGGGCCCATGGCCTGTCCCTTATGAGCCTTTCAAGCCTTACAGCTCTTCCTAATGAGGGATGCTGGTGGCCCAACCTTGTGAAGAACTCATATGATAATCACAGCTGCTTTGATACCAAGACGCCCAAAGGAACAGAGTCCCACAGCATGTAGAAGCTGGGCTTTGCATCTCTGGAACTCAGCTTCGTCATTCTTTCAAGATTTATCTCAAGGAAGACCTGAGTTACTGACAGTAACTCAGTAGTGGATGTTGGGTCAGGGTAAGTAAGGATGAAAATACCAGACATAGTTCTGAGACATTCTCCACATGTACTTTATCTTTGTGTTGTGGTTCCCAGTGGTTGATCATTTTTACTCTAAAGCCCAAATGATAGCATTGACTGAGGAGTGACCAGATTTGGGGAATCTTTTTGTTGTTTTTTTTTTTTTTTTTAATATTTTATTCAGTACTAGGGCCTTACACATTATTTTTTTTTTTTCTCCCAAGACAGATTTTCTCTATGTAACAGCTCTGGCTGTCCTGGAACTATCTCTGTAGACCAGGCTGGCCTTGAACTCACAGAGCTCCACCTGCCTCTGCCTCCTGAGTACTGGGATTAAAGGCGTGCGCCACCACTGCCCAACTGGCCTTGCACATTCTAGGCAACTACTCTATTGTTGAACTATACTGTATTTTCCAGTCCTTTCCCCAGTTTTTTTTTGTGATAAGATCGTGATAAGTTGCTGAGGCTGGTTTTTAACTTGGAATCCTCTTCTAGCCTCTTGAGTTGCTGAGAGGACAGGTTTGTACCACCAGACTTTCTTTCTTTCTTTCTTTCTTTCTTTCTTTCTTTCTTTCTTTCTTTCTTTCCTTCCTTCCTTCCTTCCTTCCGTCCGTCCGTCCGTCCTTCCTTCCTTCCTTTCTTTCCTTCTTTCCTTCTTTTCCTCCCTCCCTCCCGCCCTCCCTTCCTCCTCTCTCTCTCTCTCTCTCTCTCTCTCTCTCTCTCTTTTAAAGTAACAACAGAACCCATGCTCAGAACCATTCTACTTGTACCTCTGCCCATTGTTCTCTAGTGTAGAGGCTGTGGCTTCCCTACAGTGGTTTTGGAGTCTGCTGTAGGACCCCTAGGATCTTGTAGCTCTGTGTCTTGGAAGGGGCTTTGCCTTAGTATTGCTAAGTCAGCCCTGCTCTGTCCAGTCAGACATTGGTCAGGTGTCCAGTTCTGTTGCTTGTGAATGAACACATACATATATACCACGTATACACAAACACATGAATTCACACTCACTCTCATGCATACACATGCACATACACCCTCCTCATGCAAATACTCTCTTGGCACACATGTACAGGACAGGAAGTGTGATGCATCCTGTGTGCTTGTAGGTCTCCTTGTCTGTTTTTCCTGAGTCCTATGGTCTGCATTTGGTCAAGGCTGCTCTGAAGGAAAGCCAGGCAGGTTGATTCTGTTCTTAAGAGCATGGGGAGAGCGGTGGTATATTGATTGAGTGATTGAGTCCACACTGTGAGCCTAATTATGTGGCAGGCACAAATGACTTCAGCATTTGGTTTAATCCAGAATGAGACTTGCCAAAGCAAATACTGTATTAATCTTAACCCCTCAAATTAGACATTGGTTTTTTCTAAAAATGGGAATGATTGGAGTTCATTATTGGCTTTTAAAATCTATCCTCCTCTGTCCCTCCATTCCACCTCAAAGGCTAGACAGTGCATTCCTGTCCTTGAATGGAGAAGGTGCTTTTCATTACTGGCTACCTCCTTTCACATTCTTGAAACTAGGTGAGTAGAAAGATGCCCCTTGAAGGGTGTGTGTATTTTTAAGACAGGGTCTCTTGTAGCTCATTCTGGCCTTAAACTATTGATTCATGTGCCTCCACTCCCAAGTGCTAGCATTAGAGATATGCTTCATTGTACTTTACTCATTCTTTCCAGGCCAAAGGAAGGGTTTGCTATTAGGTTGGAGCTTTACTGACTGGGAACTTGTCTTTTTTTTTCTTGGGATTCAATTGAGGCTGTGTGCAAGGAAAACTGTTGGGTGACTTCTGTTAGTGACCTTGAATATGTCTAGGAGAATCAGTTATAATTTTGTGTGTTGTTTGTCTGCGTGAATGAGTGATGTCAACAGGGCTTCCTACCTGACAACCCAAATCTGTCCATAATATGTTGGGCTAAGGGAAATTCACAGGGTACATACCTGGGATTAAAGGGTGAGTTTGTTCCTATCTATACTAGAAAAAAATTGACACTAAACAAGCATGCAGCCACAGCTTACCTCACCTCAGAAAACAGTTCTTGATTACCCTCCTCCTGTAGCTTCCCAGGTAGCCTCTGTCTGCCCTGTCTGAGCTGACCTGTGGAGAGTTATCAGCTTTGAAGTCCTAAGGTGCCATTTTAATACTTTCTTTACAGTGCAGGTTTCAAGAGCAATTTAACTAGATTCTGGAGGGAGCTTACTTTACAGCATTCTTAAGAGCTCCAACAATCTTGAAAGAGTTAAACTCTAATTAGCTCATTCCTAAGGTATTTAATGCCCTTATTAAAACTCAACTGCTTGTTCACTTTTTTCTTTAGTGAATCAGATTTCTTGAGGAGCTGAGCCCTCACTCCTCAGATCACAGGCTCACATGTTGAAGCTGGCAGTGCTAGAGGCTAGTTCCTATCTGTGTGACAGCATTTTTAATTTAACAGGACCGCCTTTGATGTTCCCAAATATTTATAGGCAGCTTTAGATCATTTCAGTATGTGCTTTCCTTTTCTCTTCTGCCTCTCGATCTTTTTTTAAAAAATTGGAGCAAAGTTCTTCCTCACGCAGCAGCTTTCTTTTTATCCTGCTGGTTTATTTTTGCTTCCTTTGCAGCCTTGATGAAGACTCTGGCTGTATCCACACACGAGAGGCCAACTCTTCTTCTTGCCTCTTCAGTAAGGCCCTCTCTCTGTATCATACTGTCTACATGAGATTGATTGAGACACTTTAGTTTGTGCCTTGACTTTTTTGTTTGTCCCTTGACCTTCTAAATGCAGAGTTCTTTTTGGATTTGACTTGGGATCCATTTTCTGGCAACCTGGAAGCATTCAAACTGATGTGGAGCCTCAAGCAGTGTGTGTGAAAGATGACCAATAACCATGTCTTGCTCTGCCTGCCTGGGATGTCTGGACCTCCAGAAGTTGTGACTTGTAACGGCCCCTTGGAGATAATGCTCTCTTAATTGTAGGTTTGCTTCACGTGGCTGTACTAGACTTATCTAAAATACTAGAGAATCAAAGACTTAAGTCTCAGGAATGGGATAAACAAGGCTATAGTGTAGAGACTTGTTAAGCCACAAAAAGAAAAAAGAAAAGAAAGAAAGAAAGAAAAAAAAAAAAAAGAAACTTTGTACCAAGGAAAACATGTGGCAGAGAGAGAGAGAGGACAGTAGCCTGTCAGCTTGGGCTCAGGTAAACATTCTGCTTGTGAAACAATCCAAGTTTTTGAACTCTTGGCCTTCTGTTACTTACCTGGCTTAGACAGGCAGAAACCAGGAACTTCATGACTTTCCTCCAGCACCACCTGCTCTGCCTGCTACTACATAGCTTTGTGGGACTGAAGGTCAAATAGGTGGTTGATGAAATGTTTGAATGAATGGATGCTCTGTTAGACACTGTTCTTGGGCTTTACACTGTGCCACCAGATCCTCAGGAGGATTCTGAGTGATGAGATTTCCTCCCTGTGTTTTTGGATGAGGATACCAAAGGACAGTGAGATTTAACACAGCTGGTGACTAGAGAAGCTAGCTGGAACTCAAGACTGTTTGTAGCCTTACTGCATGGTAGTTCTGGGTAGGTGTATACTGCAGTGGGCTGCTAGGCTTTTACAGGTTTTAAAGGGAGGGTATACTCTCGAGGCTAAAATCTCCTGTGCATTATGTTCAGTTCAGTTCAAAGTTGACAGGTTTTTGCCATGTAAGAGCCACAGTGGCATCAGAGAGGTATGTGTCAGCTTTGCCACTGCCAGTGGTATGACCATTATGACCTTGGCCAAATCAACCTCTGTGAACTGTTTTCTCATCAGTGGCATAGGTCATTTAGCAGCTAACACTAAAGAATTATAAAGGTAAAATGAAATAATACATTGGTGACATCGTGCTACCAAATTGTCATTGTTTGAAGGAGTTTATAGTCTTTTGGTGGGGGGGAGTATAGGTAAATCGGTATCAGAAAACACCATGGCAGCTATAGCTGGGAGGCTTTACAGCAGGGCCCAGGCAGGACAGAGCCACTGGTAAAGAGTTACATTCTCTTTAAGCAGATGCTTTTAAGTGCCTCCTTGAAGCCAGATGATGCTAGGTGGCACTATCCTGTCAAGCTGATTGTGTATCCCATCCTTCCTAGCTCCCCACCCCCATTTCCCCTCTTAGGAGAATTTGAATTAAAATGTTAATTGCTTTGAAGAAGAATTTCCTGCAAAGTAAAACCCCAAGGTGCCAAATAGCACAGACACACTCCAGTTAATATCCAGTTTATCTTTTATGGCCCTGTGCTATCCTTTAATTATTAAATCTTATCTAATTTCCCTTAAATTTTCTGGTCTCTTCTATATAAGAACCTTACAGTACTTGAGAACGTATTTGAAACTAGCCAAGGGAGCAGGTGGTGACGTTTGGTTCCCCACAGTGCCCAGATGGTGTCCGTGCTTTCTCATGGTCTGGCTCCATGGGGATTTGTTGATAAGATTTTGCTTTGATTTGGTTTTCTCCCCAGCATCATGTTCAGATTCAATTACGGCCTGTGGCTGTTTTCCTCTGCAAGGTTCCACGGTTTCAGTCATCGACAATGCTGAAACATAGGCCCTGTGCTATGTTTCCTTGACCCTTTTGCACACACTAAGGGATGGCTGCACAATAGAATTGTGTACTCTGCCCATGGTGCTTGGTCCAGAGTAGATGTCAGTGTGAATTCACTTGTTCAGTTGATTGATAGCATATTTAATCTAGACCAGAAGACATAAGGAAAGCAATTGCTATTATTTCTGTAAGCTTCTCCTGAAAACAGACTTAAGGTCATTTCTACAACTTTCCTGTCTAGTTGGAAAGCTAGAAAACAACTCTGAAATAGTATTGTCTACTATGCAAGTCTATTGGAGGGGATATGTGGCCATTACTAGCTAGCAACATTTGAGTAAAAAGAGGACCAAGAAGGTTGACTTAGTACCACTGGGGCTCATGTGTGGTGATGCTTGCATTCCTTCCTTCCTTCCTTCCTTCCTTCCTTATTTCCTTCCTT